TGTATGCACATACCTACACGTACCTACACACACACACGCACACACACACTCTGCCAGGGACAGACTGCATGCACAATTCACAGACACCATTCACAGTCTAACTGTTACTGGATGAACAGGAAAAGGCAAATACACACGTTAAATCCACTTGGGGCCAGCAGGTGGCACAGTAGTTGAGGCACTAGACTCCCACATGGTCAACCGACGGTTCGAGTCTCGAAACACACGGGTCGCATGTGAGCGCTTGCCCAAAATCTCGAGCAGAGAATAGAGGAGAAGGGATTGCAGTGTGGTCATCTCCTCTAGGGGTAATTTTTAGCTTTCTGTCTCTCTCTGTCTCTCTCTGCCTCTCTGTGTCTCTCCAGCAAACACATGTATTGTATAGCAAAAATCTCTCTCCAAAAAGAAAAAAAGAAAAATTTTCCTATTTAATAAAGCCATCACCAACTTCCATTTCATTGTTCATTTGTTAGTTTGGGGGGGAGGAAAGAGTACTTAACAAATAGTGGCTTCTCAGAGCTCTGTGGGTGCTTCTTCCACTTTAAATTGAGTTTAGAAACAAATATTATTGAAAGCAAAACTGACCCAGATATTTGCCTTTTTTTATTATTCTCAAGTTTTGAAAGCAGAAAAATTACAGTTTTTCTGCCTCATGAGGTGGTCTGCGAGGACAGGAGAAGCTTCACCACACCTTCCGGCATGGAGCAGTTCTGTGTGACCACAGGCAGCACTGGCTCAAACCACCTCTGCAGGTGGTCAGTTATGGCCCAGCTTGGAGCTGTCACAGACTGCATCCTCCAACAAGGGGTAGAACTGGACCGAGCCCCGTACGTGTCCTATCCCAGACCCTTCCGTGTAGATGAGGAAACATTTTCCAAGAGACTGAGGGACTCTATTAAGATCGCCCAGCTATCTAGAAGCAGAGCTGGGTCAAAACTGAGGACGCGGTTCTGACTACCAGCCAATGTCCTTCACCTACTTTTCCAAAGGCACATGAGGCAGAAACTCTGCTCTGCACTGAAAGCAGCACTTCTGCTCCCGGTCAGCTAGGACTTCTAGTATTGACCAGATGGACGTGAAGAAGGCTGGAGTTAGGATTCTGCCTACAGTCCTGAGGCCTCCCAGGGTGCAGCCAACGTAGTCATTACCTGTATTATGTAGGCACATGCCTCTCTTCTCAGAAGGCTGCATTCTGTACCAGGGTGGACCACGTCCTGTTCATCTCTCCTCCCCACAACAGGTGCTTAGCACAGATTTTACACACAATGAACACTGAGAACATCTTTTTAAAAATAGATTAGGCCTGGACCAGCTGGTGGCTTGGTGGTTGGAGTAACTGGATTCCACATGGCCGACTGAGCAGTTGAGTCCCAGACCCAGCAGCTTGGAAGGCACAGAATGCACATGTGAGTGCATGCCCAGCATCCTAACACGGTCATCCTCCCTGCAAGGTGCTTTCTTACCGCCCCTTCTCTCTCCTTTGCTCTCTCCTTCTGACGAGTGTACTCACCCTACAGCAAAATAAATGAGGTCCTGCACTGTGGCACTGTCAACACAAGTGTCCCGTGAGGCTGGAAACTATGTGACTGACCTCAGATCTCTAGGATGGCCCAAAAGCACGCCAGGCATGCATGTACAGCCACCCGAGATTCTGAGGAGTTGGAGAGCTGGGGAAAGGGGGTCACAGCATGACAAGGCCCTGTCAAGAGTGCTCTCTCGTGTGCAAATACATGTGCATGCACAACCATACTCTATCATAAAAAAATAAATAAATAAGTGCCCAAAACATCCAGGAGGGGAGGGGATAGCAAAGATATTCTATTGGTTGAGAACGGGGAAAAAAACAATTATCTGGATTTTCTGAAGCAGGAAACAGGGAAGACAGCTGCCAAGACTGGAGAATTTCCAAGGACTGGGTTCTAGACCTACCCACGTTTTTCTGGGGCCTAGACATTCAGGAATTCACCAGCACATAGGCAATCCCTTTCAAAACTCTTAATCAGTCCTAATTGAGTCACAATACCAGCCCAAATTAATTAGACTTTTAGAAAGTTGTCAACACCCTTCAAGGTAATCTATGCTCTCACTTCTTCAGGGCCTTCATGGGAAGCAAATGTTCAAGTTCAAAAAGCTTGAAATTCTACCAGAATGCCTGAACAAAGACCCCTTTTTTTCACTCCACTGACTTTATATTTCCATACCAAACAGAAATAAAAACAGAACATCAGGCTCCATGAAGGATCGTAGAACTTCAACCTTCAAAAAGCCCATTTCTGTAGCGGTTTTACAAAGAAGAGGTCTGATGTCCGTGTGTAACCCTGTGGCAGTATCTCCATCTCAGCAAATGTCACTGCAGTCCTAGAAGCCGAAAGCATCCTTGGCGGAAGCAAAATCAAGTGCCTTCAGACCCCAAAGTCATTGATTCAAACAAATAAAACTAAGCTTCTTAAATCATTAGTTCTTTCCTCTGCAACCATCTAAATGTGCCCATGGCTGCTAACCACTAATTTTACCACCATAAACTCTACAACGGCTTAATATTAATAATCGGCAGCAAAATTGGCAACCTTATCCTCAAGGCACATTTACTTTCTGCATTCGATAAAATAAAAACATCATTTGAAAACAAACACCACTATATTGGGCCAGTTTTGTCCCTAGTAGTTAAGACAGACAGATCCCACATCACCAACACAAGGTTAGAGTCCTGGACCTGGTGTCTTGAGAAACATGAGGGGCACATGGATATGCATGCCCAAAATCCCAAAAGGAAAGAGAAATGAAGAAGAAAAAATTGCAGCTTCCCACGTGGTCATGCCCCACGGGAAGTGCTTTCTTCTTCCTCTGTCTCTCTCTCTAGAGAGCCCACAAACCTTCTAGCACAAAATAAAAATAAATACTATTCTTCCAAAGCACCTTTGAGCAGAGAATTAGGATTATCTAAAGAGGTCCTTTTATTAAATTTCTTACATGTGGGTGAGAGACAGGCAGCAAGTAGATATTTCTATCCCCATTTTAGGATAAGGGAACAGCTTCAGGGACTTGAACTAATGAGTCAGTCATGAGGCTGAAATAGAAACCGAAATTCAGGCTGACTTTGAATCAAATCCAGCCAGAAAAGAAGGTGTAAATTGGTAACAACATTTGTTTAGCCTAATGTGACTCCAGGGAGAAAAAATCAGAATAGCCTTATTTTTTATTTTAAGGTCTTTGCCATAGAATGTGTGCACTCGCCAGAGAGGGAGAGAGGCAGAGACAGTGAGAGGGAAAGTGAGAAATCACTCTGCAGGGGGAATAACCACATAATCCTGTCTCCTCCATTCTCTTCCTGGGATTTTGGGCACACGCACACATGTTCCCAGCATGCATTTTAAGCCACCAGGTCCAAGACTCAAACCGTGGTTGGCCATGTGGAAGTACAGAGCCTTCAACCACCGCACTACCTGCTAGTCTCTAGCCGCATTTTTAGAAAGCATTATTGTTGGGCCAGGTGGCATGGTGGTTAAGGCAGCTGGGGCCCACATGGTCAACTATACAGTTCAAGTCCTGGACCTAGCAGCCAGAAAAACACTCTAGGCATGTTCATGTATGTTCAAAATCTGGAGTAGAGAAGGAATTGCAGAATGGCCATCCGCCCTGGAATCCTTTCTCTCTCTCCCCCTCTCTCTAAGTAATCACTTATACCTGATAAAAAATTTGAAAAAAAAAAAAAAGGCATTATAGTCAAATCCTAAATGTTATCACACATATGCCATTACTTTGGCAAATTCATCGCAGAAGCTTGCTGTTTGGGGTGTCGCCATATGTTCTGCATACTCTATCTATGCAGCTTTATTTTCCTTCCCAAGTGTAACCAATAGAATACTAAAGTGACTATTTTTCTCACAAAATTACTTTCTACAATATGTGCTTGTGCTTAGATTTCACATTTCATTTTAGAATCTATCTGAAAGCACTTGTTAATTCGTTTACTAGGCTCAGGGGCACTGTTGGAGGGAACCGTTCATCAAGTTAAAAGCAAAACCATGTTTAAAGGCAGCTTCTGAAGACCAAGGCCTTCATCAAGACCACCCAACAAGCCAAGTCAAGAAGACAGGTCTGAGGCCCGCTGAAGGCCTTTGACGTAACTGTACAAAACCATGACCCCTAACGAAGTAGAGGCGACACTTCCAACCACAAGCTGCTCTCTGCTCCCAGGGGAGTGAGGACTTTACCCGCTGTCCAGGTAACGTACTTAAGAGAGCACTAAATCCCTGCGGGAAAACTTCCTGTCCCTCCAGAACACGCCTCTCTCTTCCTCACCCCTGTTTTGCCACCCCTGTGTATTTAATGCCACTAAGATTTCAAAGTCCAAGAATCAAAGCAAGAACCGAAAAGCCTGGCTGACAACGAATTGCCTTCCACACACTGCAACACGCCCTACCACGTCTACCTTTGTGGAAGACAAAAGGCATAAAACACGAGGAAGGAGGAAGCGAGGAATGGCAGAAGATATGTCTTAGAAAAACTTAGACCCGGTCAGAAGTTGAGGGGTGCAATGCAGTGGGGAGGGCGGACCCTCAAAATAAAAAGCAACAAGAAAACTCAAAACTCTTATCAATGCGAGAGAATAACACAATGCACAGAATATTCATTTTACTGATAAATAGCCCCAGACTCTCCTATGACTTTTAGGGAAGATCATTTAGTTTTATAAGCAAAACCTGGACTGGAAGATAGATTCTCTCATTCCCACTGAGCCATAATTCCAACCACTAAGCTAAACTCTCTTGCTAAAATTGCTGAGAACATGAAGGCTTGTGGCTCAAACCCAGAAAAATAGCAAAGAAAGCCCTTGTCCCTCTGCATTTAGATGTTGTCTTCTTATCTATCTGCCCCTTACTCAGGAGGCCTGTGAGGGCAGGGCTCACAGGGGTCCAATACTAGCCATTAGACATTTGGTACCACCCTGATTAACTGGATGACAGGCGGCGACATGACATGACCTGAGGTCTACTCACACTTATGGGAGAGGAGTACATCAAAGGAATCGGCCCACCTCGTAGCTTCTTCCGTGGAGAGTCTCCTACGAAGGAAGAAACAGCTCTCTTGAATATTTTCAAAGAGACCTCTGCCTCCACGACCACTGAGCCATGCTCAGGAGAACAGATTACAACCATGGGGGGGGCGGGGCAGATGGAGACCCCAGCTGGATTCCTGCCATTCTGTCACTGCATATTTGAACCTTTGTAAATAACCGGGGCGGGGGGAACCTCAGGGTTGGAACTCAGCCTCTGGCTTTCAGCCTGAAGAGCAAAGCTAAGGACCCGATTTACAGATATCGAGGTGGCAGCGGACAGATACTAGTCTTGGAGTGGGAACGCTAGCATCGGCTCCTAACTCGCCTCTCCCTCTGCCTTGATCTCCACCTCTGCAGTAGGGACGGCGATGCCTGTTGCAGGGCTGTGTGAGGGTTAAACGAGGTAACACATGACATCATTTAACACGGCACCTGCCCAGAATAGGTGCTGCATCTAGATGATCTGAATCTAGGCATATTTTTAGAGTAAATTCAAGTATTTATTTCTAAACCGACAGCTCAGATTGACAACGAAGTAGCACCAAGAAGTATCCTTCGCCACCCACGGCTGTATTCAGGATGGCTGATACGGTTCTCTTAGAGAAAAAGGAGGGTCCCCATTCTGAGATCACTAAGCTACACATTTTGAAAAGGAAAAGACACATTTGTTTCACTCACAACCCGGGATATAAATGGAGCTAGCAAGAGGCAGGAGTGTATTGTCTTGTGGTTCATCTGGTCAGAAACTCGGTAGAGAACAATGGGCTTTGTAGCCCTATGCGGGCACCCCACCGCAGGCACCCCAGGAAGGCCTCATGGCCATGCTACTCACTTGAGAGCGCGGTTGGGCTTGTCGGGAAGAATGGCTGTGAAATCACTACATGAGTCTGACTTGTGAGACAGGCATCCCAGGCGAGTCCTCATGCCTTTGTTCCTGCAACGAGCACGGGGCAGAAGGACAGAGGGGACCTGTGGTGATCGTAGCAGCCAGCTCCTGCGAGAGCCCCCGGAGCTGCTGCTGCAGGAGCCACACTGCCCCCACCCTTCCCCGTGGCCCCTGAAGATTTCAGGAAGAAGAAGAAGGGACACCTAGAGGATCAGGGGATATACTCAGTCCTGCTCTCGATACAGGAATAGCAGTAGGTACCCTACCCTACCCCAGAGGCTTAATGCTTTTTAAAGCTGGCACAGCACGTTGATGGGAAGTCAATGAAGGGCATTTGTGTGGAAGAATTTTTAAATTAGGGAAATACAGTAATGACAAAATAACCAACCACTCTGCTTTCCCACTAGGAGGGCAAAGTAGCGCCAGTAGCAGCAGCAGCTCCTGACTGCAAAGCCCCAGTGGTGGTGCCCACCCCCACACTGGGAGCAAGGGAGGCAGGCAGAATGCAGGGCTGCATGTCAGAGTCTCAGCGCAAAGTATGGAGCTTCAAGGCAGGTCCATCCTGATGCAGGTTCTCTCCTCTTATCCCACGGATCTGGTTATGCACAAGGGGACATCAAAACGTTTGTGGGAAAATGGAATGGAAGTATGAATTTATTTTTGGTGCAAAAAGATTCTAAAATCCATGCATAATTTTTTGGTAATACACATTTCTGTGGACTTTTTGAAGAACCATGCACATGAATGGATACAGGCCAATAAGGACTGATGACTACGGTGGAAGGACAATTAGTAAAATCAGCAAATAAGAACCATGTCCTCCAGGGCCAACAAATGTTGTAGTGATTAAGGCACTGGATTCCACACGGCCAGCTGTCAGTTCAAGTCCCAGACCCAACGGCTTGAAAAACTACTCCAGGCACGTGTGCATGCATGCCCCAAATCCCAAGAGGAAACTGGAGGAGAAGGGATTGCAGCACGGCCATCCCTCCTCCGGGGTGATCTCTCATTTTCCCTATGTCTCTCTGGCACGCGCACTCATCCGAAGGCAAAAACCTTAAAAAAAGAAAGAACCGTGTCCCTATGTCCCTTTTTATACTTGCTTATTTAAGCTCTTGTATCCTTATTTGTATTTTGGCATCTCTCAATAAATGTATTAAAATTCTTAACATGTGTTAAGTTTCTTATACTTTTTACTTTCCAAGGACCCATATAATGACATCAGGTGCTTAAACAGTCATGTGCTATGGAGGATCCGATTAAAAACTATGTTCATGTCTCTGACTCCCAGAATTAGCACCAGAATTAAACACAGACAGGCAAACTACAGCCCTGCGAGGTGCTTGTTTGTATAAATCAACTTTTATCAGAACACAACACAATCATTTATTTACATGCTATCTAACACTGTTTTCAACAACAAGGACAGAGCTGGGTTGTTGCAACACAGACCATCTGGCCCACAGAGCTGAAAATATTTACTCTCTGGCCTTTGACAGAGTAAGTCTGCTGACCTCTGACCTTTAACCATGGCAGGTCCTTGGGTTGAGGGCAAAGGCATATGGGTATCATCAGATCAGAACTTGAGAGCGACTTCTGAAAAGGCACTGCCCTGTGCACTTTGATAATAGTTCTAGAGGAGGCCATTCTCCCTGAAAGAAAGTCCTGGCTGGCTGTCCCTTCCTCTTTTTCACAAATTCTGGGGCAGGGCAGAGACTTCAGAGGTCATCCAACTCAATTGCTTCCTTTCACTCAGACTGGATTTTCATCTCTCTTAGTCATTGTCTTTGTTCATCAAAATCTTACCCAACAAATGTCTGTGGACTGGTATCATATTTGGCAGGGATAGACATGTGTATTCCACAGATGATCCCCCAAGAGCCTTTTCAGACTGGAACACCCAAGTTCCCAGAAAGATCTGCAGAAGAGTGGGCCTCACAATCCCGGCTCCTCCACTCTTGTGGGAGCCATCTATGTCACGGCACTCAAAACACCGGCTACAGTTATTCTCTCTCTGGAGACTGCGAGCATCTTCTCTGTGCACTCGCTTTTACAAATCACAGGGTGCCTGACACAGGGCCACGCAAGCAACTGATTGAGGGCTCTCGAGTCATCACATTCCATGAATTCAAGTAAAGGTCTTGCTCCGTCTGCACTGCAGGCCAGAACTCGACTCTCGGTGAGTGGGTACACCCCTCAGTGCCTCAGGATCATCCATCATCAAACCCTCAGGTCACTGCTCCAAAGAACAATTAAGAGGAGTATCAAAACATGGCAAATCCTCAGGAGCCAGTTAGCAAGGGTTAGCAGAGGCCAGTGCAAAGGGTGCTACTTGTTATCAAGACAACTTGATTCTCCCAGGTGAGTTGCAAAAATCTTCAACAAAATATTCTTTGGGATAAAATGGTTTTCGTTTTCCATCGTTCTAGCTAAAATCTGAGTTACAATCTAGGATCTAAACTAATAGGAGCAGAAGAGTCAAAGGGTAAGATTACTTTAAGGGGCCAGCAGTTGGCATGGTGGTTAAGATCACTGGACTCCCACATGACTGACTATGGTTCAAGTCCTGGACCCGGTGGCTTGTTTTGGTTTGGTTTGATTTGGTTTTGTGTTTTTCTCTCTCCCTCCCTCCCTCCCTCTCTGGTCAAATTTAAATAAATAAATAAAGTTAAATAAAATAATTCTGTTTTTAAAAAGATGACTTTAAAAACAAAACAAAACATAGCAGCTAGACTTTCACCCCCACTGTCTTCTCTCTGCAGCCCCTGTCCCAGCAACTCATAAAGGTCCCTAGATGGTTCTGTTCAAGCTCATGCACAGCCCATTCCACCCCATCCCATGAGCCGCCCATCAAGGGGAGTGCTGGGGCTAAGGCAGGTCCTGCTTGCAAGGCCACAACTTTGCAAGCTGCAGGCAAGAACAGCACAGTCCCAGGAGGAAGCCTAGGGAGACAGATGCAAGTGACCCCCTGTGGGCTTAGGAGGCTGGGGCCAGGCTCAGACAGCGGGGGAGGTGGGAAGTAGAGAAAAGAGGAAAGGGACAGGGACAAGAAAACAGGTCATCGATCATTACCTGCGTGGCATCAGTAAGGCAGCCATACAGGCATCCGCTTACGTTTAACCCTTGGACTGGTTTGCAGGGACGTCAGGGCAGGAAATAAGACTGCGAGGCACAGGGATTTACCCTTTCACGTCCTCTCACCTAAAACCAAAGAATCTGCTGTAAAAGGGGCCACCCTCTCTCCTCTGACTATACTACAGATCCCCTCGGGTGTCTCTCCACCAATGGAGTCCCTTCCCCACGCACACATGGAGTCCCACAGACATCTGCTGGTCCTTAGCAAGGTCGGCCAGCGGAGGATGGACAAGAATGAACGGTTGATTGGCTTCATGCTGCTGACGCCGGTCAGGAGTTCCCACTTGCCCCAACAGCAAAGTGGGCCATGTGCCCTGGGGGACGGCCTGGCAAAGCAAAAGGGACTGCTCCCTTTTCCTTACTAGAGTGGGACCCAAGTGACCCGCCAGCGAGTGGGGGAGGGGCAGCACTCGCTCTAAAGTCACCTGATCAGCTGCTGCTCTGATTCCTGCTCTCTTCAAGGGCACCTGGCCCAGGTGGAAGCACATGAAGACTTGGGAAGGTGGGAGTGGGAGGGAGGTTGGGTGCTCCCGGGGAGGCTGGTCAGGCACCTTCACCACACAGACTTGCTCTTTTGTAAAGATCTCAGACACAGGCTGGAGAAATGAATATGCAAGTCGCCCTCTCTTGCCCACGTGGAGTCTGCATGACCTTCCTGGCCCATTCTTGACCCGAAGCAGGGAGGGGGAGAGGGGATATGGAGGCTGCGGGCTGATTGACTTCTGGTCTCCCTCTCTCCTGGGGGTCCTATTCTCAGTGCTTCAAACCCTTTGTTCCCTCTGAAGAGAACTGATAGAAAGAAACCCATGACGAGAGCAGCCTATCCATAAAGGGTTCCCTTGGGGAACCCTGACACCAAACATAGAATCCATTTTAAAAGAAACCTAATTTAGATAGATAAGGCTCCTATGTGAGCTACACCATTTAGATTATTTTGGTATTCTTCTGAACACTTCACAAATACTTTTAAAAATATCTTCTCTAATAATGCTATAATTAATAGAATTAAAGGATTACTCTGTTAAAACCAGAAAGAAAAAAAAATAGTTAGATTTTGTATAAAGGCTCATCCCCGTGTTTCCTGATAGCAGGGATGTTTGCTTAATTTTCACCCTAACTGGGCTTATACCTGCTTACCCAGATGTCAGGAAGTCAGAGCTCTTTACAGCCATAAGGGGCCCTAGAAATCACCTCTGGGGTCCTTAAACTTCATTTGCTCTTGTTTGTTGGATGTGGCCCCAGGGGAGGGGGACACCTATGTGAGGTACTTTCATTCCCTGAACCTGAGAGGAACCAGAGATGACAACCCACACGCAACACTGGCAAAGGTACTAGGGGCCAGGGATCCCTCAGCTTTCTGTCCAGCCCACGATGACCTGTCTGCACAATTCAGATGACTGCCCTCCCCCTCTGCCAAGTCCCATACTGACCAAATTGCCCATCACACCCCACCACCCTTTGATTACTCAGCCCTTGAGCCCTACTAAGTTAAGAATCAGGTGGACACTCTGAGGCCACTATCTTGTCCATCCCAGGACCTTGGGAGAGTCTTACCCTACTTGACACTTGGCCTACAGGGACAGAGTGAGTGGTTATCCAGAGCCCAGGAAGTTCACAGGTGTGATTGCACCCACAACGCATGTGCCCTCATGAGCTGGCACCAACTTACAAGTGGCTCTGGGACGTATGGGACGAGAGGACGCTCAAGGAAAAACAAAGGTTAAAAGCAAAGAAAAATGGTTTATAACATGGGGGAGAGGAACGAGGAGTCTCTGCGGGAGAGAGCAATCAATATGCATGAGGAGGCAGGTTAATTAAATATGGATAACGCAATCGGTGCACACAGACACCCCAGAGAGGAAGGAGAAAAACTAAAGCAATACTCACTGTCTTTGACCAGTCCTCATGGCCTGCAGGTCTTTGCCAACCGGATGGTCAGAGAGGCTGCGAGTTAAGGAGCTCTAAAGAAAGAGCAGATTTTTCTTTTAGCAGTCAAGTCCTTGGCGGGTGACGGGCACGTGTGCGTGGACACGCAGGCAGAGCACACACATATATACACGCATACACACGCAGGCATGCAAGGCGCACCTCCCACCGCTTGAGCCAGGCAGCAAGCGGCCCCGCTGAAAGCTCTTCTTTCTGCTTGTCACATTCAGTAAATGCTGAAGCAGCCTACACCCAGCGGGCGGCAGCTCTGCTTCGGGCACAGTCTGCACGCCCATCCTCATTGGCAGGATGCAGGAGGTGTCCCTGGGCAGAGCTCGCTGGCACGCCGCCCGCACCTTCCTCCTCAGCCTCACTAACCTGAAGCTCCTTTGGCTGTGGCTCAGGGAGAAGTCCCCACAGCCCAGAGCTGCCTCCCTCTGCACCCAGAGGCTGTGCAGGGGGCAGTGAAGAAAAGGTATTAACTCTTTCCAGCCATCGGTGAACTGAAAACCAAGTGTCCAGGGGGCCCCCTTCTAACGAGCTCTGCTGCGGGCTGAAGGCTGCTTGCTGCACGGGGAGCAGGGAGCATAAAGATCTTGCCCCAGACAGCTGCTGACAGCGGGAGCCAAGCTGAATCAAATCTCCTAATGAGCCAGGAGGAGGGGGGCTGTCTTGCTGGGTGTGATGTGATGTGATAAATGCAGAGAGCAAGAGAGCTACGGGGCAGGTCACACATCTAAATTCCACCCCCTTTCCACCAATTTCTATTGTGCTGCACTACCGAGCCGAACCACCAGCCCTGAAATTACCCCTCTCTGCCACATCTCAGCTGTCCCCTTACTCTACAGAGGCATCCGTCCATCCCTCCCACTGTGCCAACCACACCACTCCCACTTCCTAATGAGAAATTTCCGCCTCCTCGGCCTCCCCAGCCGTGCATATTTCCAGTCGTGCTCTCGCCTCTCACCTGGTTTCCCCTACAGCATAAACTCACCTCTCTCCCTCATCCATCACCTAGCAACTTCCCCCTACTCGCATTTGTTATGGAGGGAGACTTTTCCCTTTGTTCCTCTCTCTCTGTAGGTTAGCCCTATTTTCTGTCTTTCCCATTTTTTCCCAAACCTCCTTATCCACATGGATCTTCACCCTGCCTGCCTCGATCCCACAAGGACTCCCTTCCTGCCGGCCCTAGAACAGGACTCCAAGTGCAGTCCATGAATCAGCAGCAGAGTCACCTGGGAGCGAGTTCGAAGGGCAAATTCCCAAGCCCCATACCCAGACCCGCACCATCAGAAACTCTGGGATGGGCTCAGCCTTCCAGGAGATTCTGAGGCATGCTAAAGTTTGCAAACCACTCTCTCGGGATGAAGCTTTCCTCCTCCTCGTGCTGCTGCAGGTCTCTAAGGCTGTCTCTCCTCCCACTCAGGAAACACCTAGCCTTTTCTGCAAGTTATTTCTGAAACCCAGAACGCAGCAGAAACCTCCAAAGAAAGTGATGGCTTTATAAGAAAGGTAATGATTTTCATGTGTTTAACCTTTTAAAACGTACAGAGCATTTTCATGGTTTGTCACTCAACGATCCCAGGCCATAATCAGGCAGGGTATTTGTATTCCCGTGTTACAGATCAGAAAATTGAACCTAGAAAAAATGAAGTGCTCTTTTCAAAGTGACACCACGTATAAAAGGCAGAACAAGGACAAGAATGTGTGTCTTCTGACTCTCACGGCAAAGCTTTTTCTCCTACGTCATGCCGCAACTCCATCGGTCGGGACAAATCTATTGGTGCACAACCTGTATTCTCGCGGTAAGACGATTCTGCGGCAGCTACTCATTGTCTGATGATAGGACAGAATCAAAATTCTGATCCAGCCTTCACAGTGGCTCGTTTTCTCTTTCTGATAATGTCCACAGCATCCCTCCGTTAGAAAAGGGAAAGTTTGTATTATAAAATGAGATGCAAAAGAAAAGTCTCCCATGCCTTTTAAGCCCTGTCTTTGAACCCCAATGCTTCCTGGGGTGGAAAACATAAGTGGAAAGAGAGGCCTCCACTTCTGGACATTCCCCTATGCTGTGTCATGATGCACAGGTGCATGGATAAGCTAGTGAATACACACTCCTTGATCAGCACTTCCCTAATCCAAGATCTGCATATACCATCAGGTGAATCCACAGAGCTAAGGTGGAAGGTACATAATCGATGTTTCGTGAGTACTTAGCGTGTGCGAGGCACTGTGTCAAACGTTGAATTTGAAGTATCTTATTCGATTCTCACAATGTCTTTACAAGGCTGACATCTTTCTTGTCCCCATTCTACAGATGGTAAAACAGAGACACGTCATTTATGAGAGGCAGAACTGGTATCTATTGGGTCGTCGGAAAAGTCATGATGCATTTTTGTATAGAAAATATCTGACTTTTTAAAAATGTGTCATGCCTTTTCCAGTGACCCAAGAATACCAAACGTGGTGCTTCCCGCTTCTGTTCTGCCCCCATGCTTTGACCCAAAGGTGGGTCATTGTAGGACTCTTCCCTGACAGTGCTAAAAGGCTGGGATAGATATCCTGATGCCAAGAACTGCAAATCCAGGATATTAAGGCCCTGAGGAGAGTAAGCAGGGCTGCAGATGGGCCCACGTCTCCAAGGGAAGCTGATCAATATGAACCAGACATCAGAATCTTCAATGAGCCTTTAGAGAAATAATTTAGTCCTAGGAAGTCAATAAGTCACTGCTTAAGAAAAGACTTAGTAATTAATAAAGCTCCAAAGGAGAAAACAGGAATATAAAGATCAGAGGGACCAGAGAGTGTAGACATGTATAACATGAGGAAACAGAAAAATCATAGCTATTCAAACTTTCTTATCAAAATGCTTCTCATCACCAAGCAGTAGCTACAAAGCACTTCTGTTTGAGAAGCACAGACCAATATCAGCCCATTCTCATAGGAGGGCTAATTTAATCTTCCAAATGAGGCAGGTGCATAAAGAATTCAAGGAAGGAAATTAAGCCAAACCTAAAGTAAAGCATTCTGACATGGTCTTCTTTCCTGCAGGAAAGAGACGGGGAAAGTCAAGCAGGTTCGAGTGCCAGGGAGACAAGAACTGGTCTACTTGTGGTCGGCAGTGCAGAGGCTGAGAGCCCCGGCCTGGGGAGGAACAGCTCTGGCTTCTTTTTTGGCTACTGCTCCTGTTTTCCAGGCTGAAGTCTGGGCACAGCGCATCTCAGCCGGCCCACTTAGAGTTTTTCCAAGGAAAACAGAGATTACCAGCCTTGTTCTGGCTTCTCAGACTGCCTAGCACCCATCACTCAATACATTCACTCCTCTTGGGAAACCTTGCCCTCTTCAGAACTGGAGCTTCCGCTTCTGCCCTGCCTCTCTCCAGCTCCCAGCTTCTTTTCCAGACGTCTGCTGGACAGCTCCACTCGCTCAGTGCCAGACTCAACTCGCTGGGAACAACCACCTTTTTCCTCCAGAGGCTCCAGTCCTCTGAGTTCCCTGGGTTTGTTCATGACATCACACTGTCCTCGTCCTTTGGGGTAACAAGTATAGATATTTCTGGCTTCTTTTTCTACATTTCCCTTACTGAATTTTTTTTTAAGGGAGATTTTTGCTATAGGGCACGTGCACTCCCTGGAGATACACAGAGACAGAAAGCGAGAAATCACTCCCCAGGGGGATGGCCACACCACAATCCCTTCCCCTCCATTCTCCTCTCAGAATTTTGGGCATGTGCACATATGCGTCCAGTGTGAGTTTGAAGTCGCCGGATCCAGGACTTGAACCGTGGTCAACTAAGTGGGAGTCCACTCATGTGACCATTACACCATATGCTGGTCCCTTGAATTGATTTTTCAGCCTTGTCATTCTATTTCTGAACTAATTCTCAACTTCAGTCTTTCCCATGCTTTGACAGCGCCGTGTCAGAGGCTGCCTGGTTCCCCGCACAGCACGTGCATTCCCACCGTATCTTATTCGATTCTCACAATGTCTTTACAAGGCTGACATCTTTCTTGTCCCCATTCTACAGATGGTAAAACAGAGACACGTCATTTATGAGAGGCAGAACTGGTATCTATTGGGTCGTCGGAAAAGTCATGATGCATTTTTGTATAGAAAATATCTGACTTTTTAAAAATGTGTCATGCCTTTTCCAGTGACCCAAGAATACCAAACGTGGTGCTTCCCGCTTCTGTTCTGCCCCCATGCTTTGACCCAAAGGTGGGTCATTGTAGGACTCTTCCCTGACAGTGCTAAAAGGCTGGGATAGATATCCTGATGCCAAGAACTGCAAATCCAGGATATTAAGGCCCTGAGGAGAGTAAGCAGGGCTGCAGATGGGCCCACGTCTCCAAGGGAAGCTGATCAATATGAACCAGACATCAGAATCTTCAATGAGCCTTTAGAGAAATAATTTAGTCCTAGGAAGTCAATAAGTCACTGCTTAAGAAAAGACTTAGTAATTAATAAAGCTCCAAAGGAGAAAACAGGAATATAAAGATCAGAGGGACCAGAGAGTGTAGACATGTATAACATGAGGAAACAGAAAAATCATAGCTATTCAAACTTTCTTATCAAAATGCTTCTCATCACCAAGCAGTAGCTACAAAGCACTTCTGTTTGAGAAGCACAGACCAATATCAGCCCATTCTCATAGGAGGGCTAATTTAATCTTCCAAATGAGGCAGGTGCATAAAGAATTCAAGGAAGGAAATTAAGCCAAACCTAAAGTAAAGCATTCTGACATGGTCTTCTTTCCTGCAGGAAAGAGACGGGGAAAGTCAAGCAGGTTCGAGTGCCAGGGAGACAAGAACTGGTCTACTTGTGGTCGGCAGTGCAGAGGCTGAGAGCCCCGGCCTGGGGAGGAACAGCTCTGGCTTCTTTTTTGGCTACTGCTCCTGTTTTCCAGGCTGAAGTCTGGGCACAGCGCATCTCAGCCGGCCCACTTAGAGTTTTTCCAAGGAAAACAGAGATTACCAGCCTTGTTCTGGCTTCTCAGACTGCCTAGCACCCATCACTCAATACATTCACTCCTCTTGGGAAACCTTGCCCTCTTCAGAACTGGAGCTTCCGCTTCTGCCCTGCCTCTCTCCAGCTCCCAGCTTCTTTTCCAGACGTCTGCTGGACAGCTCCACTCGCTCAGTGCCAGACTCAACTCGCTGGGAACAACCACCTTTTTCCTCCAGAGGCTCCAGTCCTCTGAGTTCCCTGGGTTTGTTCATGACATCACACT